AAAAGGTGAGCTTCTGTCACTGAAATCAGGTGTGTCAGGAGCCAATGGTTCCCTGGGTAAACTGCTTACTGGGTTAAGTGGATGACCTGAGTGCTGTCCCCAGAACCCACTGGGTAGAAGGAGAGAAGCATCTCCTGCAAGCTGTCCTCTGACCTCTGCAGATGTGCACCCCTGTGCACACATCACCGACACACAATGATGAGTGACGATGATGATGATGATGATGATGATGATGATGATGATGATGAAATGTTTAGGAGCACACAACTGCCAAGCCTGTGACCCACAAGCCCTACCTGCTATCCAGGCCTAATGTGCACCCTCATCAGCACCCCCTTCTTTGGTTTTAGGGTCTGCCCTTGCTTGCTCCTCCCTCACTGCCTTGGAAGCTGCCATCCTCAGTGACCTGTACAGGGAGAAAGACTTCCTGCTCCATCCAAGACAGATGTGGGGATGTAGCGATCCTCAGAGAATGAGGACAAGGTATGAGTCCAGCAGAAAGGAAGGGGACCATAGTCTAACACTTGGGGACCATCTGGACATCTCCTGCTAGAAAGATGACTTCATCTCTATAATCATACCCACTTGGTCTGTAGTATGCGCACACGCATGCGTGCGAATGGAGACCAAAGGTTTGCCTCAGATGTTGTTCCTCAGGCACTGGCCACCTTATTTTTTGTGACAAGGTCTCTCACTGGCTTGGACCTTGCCCCATAGGCTAGGCTGGCTACAGACCCCAGGGATTAGCCTGTCTCCACGTCCCCAGCTCTGATATTGCAAGGGCCCATCAGCACATCTGGTTTTTTGCTTGTTTGCTTATTTGTGTTTTCACATGGGGTCTCGCATGAACCGAGAGCCTCGTGCTTTTGTTGACGCACACTCCACCAGCTGAGCTCTCTTCCCGGCCCGGGCTTTATTTTTCAACTCTTTATTACAGGGTTTTGCAATGCAACACTGGCTGGCCTGGAACTTGCTGTGTGGACCAGGCTGACCGCAAACTCACAGAGCTCCATCTGCCTCTGCCTCCTGAGTGCTGGGATTTCCTCCCCCCACACAGACCCGAGGATGTTGGGGATTCACCCCCAAGTCTAAGAAAATGGTGTCCTACCCAGCAACATCTGCAGTCCCTGTCATAGAATCTGTGATGGCTTCGGAAGTAGGCTGTGGCCTGTTTAAGACTGAGAGTGAGTGATGGGCCAGCTGTGATGCCGAAACCCGATCTTCGGAGCAGGTGATATCTGGCCTTTCTTAGGAGATTTCCTCAAACTAGATGCTTCAGAGTGCCTCATGAGCATCCACACCAGGCTCCGTGGTAATGTCTTGTCAGTCCGTCCGTCCGTCCCCCCCCCCCCAGGGAAGCAGGATGAGTTCATGTGTGTCAAATCCTATAGCCAGCTGGCTTACCTCCATGTCTGTGGCATCTCTTCAATAACACAGTCACCAAAGAGATACTCAATTAAGGACAAGAGTCTTCTGTGGGGCCGGGTTGAGGGAAGGGCTCCTTCCTGCTAAGTGGGTGTCGCCTCTGATGAGTTCTGTGACCCTGGGCACAGCACCTGGTTTCTCAGGGTCTGCTTTCTCAGCTACCAGGCAGGACAGTGGACTGAGTTACCGCTCCCATCTCTCCACCATGATGCAGGCTTCCTAGTTCTTTTGGAAGGTCCCATTGGCATAGAGTGGGGATAGGAATGGACCCCAGAGGCCGGTGACGGGCTGTGGGTATAGCTTCACACCACTGCAAAAGACGATGTTCAAAAAGAAACCAGGTACAGCCGGGGTTGGTGGCGCATGCCAGAAGGATTTGCTGAAGGAAGTGGAGGTGGGAGGATCACAGGTTCGAGTCCAGCTTGAGGACTACACATGTTTGCCAGGTGGTGGCGCACACCTTTGATCCCAGCACTCAGGAGGCAGAGCCAGGCAGATCTCTGTGAGTTCAAGGCCAGCCTGATCTACAGAGCGAGATCCAAGACAGGTGCCAAAACTACATGGAAAAACTCTGTCTTGAGAAACCAAAAAGAAAAGAAAAGAAACCAGGTACAGTGGTATAAGCCTGTAAGCCCAAGCTGAGGCAGGAGGATCCTAAATTCCAGGATAGCCTGGGCTATGTAACAAGACTCTGTGTCCAACAAACAAAATAACACATGAAAAAGCAAAAGGGAAACCACACAGCAGATGGAGGGCCCTGGGTTCAATCCCTAGCGTTACAAAAAATAAGATCAAATTAACAAAATAACAGAAGTGTGAACATAACTGGCAGTGTGTGTGTGGGGGGGGGTAATAGCTGGTGTGTCTGTGGCTGAGACTTGCCAACAGAGGGCAAGAAAGGCAAGAGGGAGAAAAAGAAAGGACTGTCCATCAACACCTCTTACATCAGGAGCATAATAGGAAACATGCGACCAGGTCTGGCTGGGAAATGCCACCACTGTGTCCCCTTGTTTTCCAGTGCATGACTGGACACGATCAGGCCACCCCCTGCATGTGGCAGGCAGGCCAGACACCTGCCATCCACTTCTCCTACAGTCTGTGGCAATGCTGGAGCTGAGCTAACCAGCATTCTCTTTTGTTACTGGACCACTGGGGACACGGACGACAAGCGGATGATCGAGGGACTTTTGTTCACCTTCTGCCGGCACCTAAAATGTGAGCGGCGCGAAGTAAAATCCAGATCGGAGGTTTTCCCCGGAAAGTCAGAAGTTCTGCCACACTGGCGTCGAGTCTCACAAGAAACACAGGTTGGGGCTGAACAGCAGCTGCCCCTTCAAAGATGACACCCCATACCTCCACCCCCTGCCCACAGACAGCTGGCGTCGGCGCCGCCGTACACTCATAGGACGCTTGGTTGTGAAGGGGTTGGCATTTCAGGCCCTGGCTTGAGAAAGTCTTTAGACGAGCACAATTCAAAGGTCATTAAGAATGGAGCCCGACCTCCCACCCCCAGAGGGGTCATCTGCCCTCTAACCCCAGCTTGTTTATCACCACACCTCACCCATCCGTTTCCTGTGCACCCTCTGACGTCTGTATACGCTCTTTCCTCTTGACCCGCCCTTTACGGGGTGCACCGGGTCTAACACCAGGGGGATGCTTTCCGGCTGATGTTGTGATCCGCCCAGCAGCCCTTGAAACATCTCGCTCCAGAGCCCAAATCTTTTCCCGATTTGGCAGTGAGGGCAGCTTCTCAAACCGTGTGCTGGGATCCTAAAACAAGCTTTCATGTGAGTGTATCATACAAGTTCAAAGTCGGAATGCCTTTTTTCTCTCTCTCTCTCTCTCTTTTCTTCTTAGGATCGGAAACTTTACGATGATGAGGTGCACATGCTGGCGTGGTTACACGCTTCGCGGTGCGCGGCCTCTCTCTGTCAAGTGCCTCCTGCGCCTCCTGCGCTCCAGGTTCGATGCCAAGAGCTTTATGGATTCCGCCGCTGCTGCTCTTCATTATAGCTGCTCGAGGTAAATGTTTTCATCACTGGAGGAATCACATCATTACTGAGTTTTGTGATGAGAAGCTGAACCCGGCCCTGTCTTCTCCCAGGTCTGCCAGGCCCCTTCCATTAAGAGGGAGTTCTAAGACATAAAAATGGCAGCCGAGCACATGAAACAGATACTGGAGGACTGGGTTGCTGTACAGCGTCGCCCGCCCCCCACAACACACCACCACCAATATGTTTTCAGTTAACTTCAAATACCACGAGGTGAATTTTACCTCGTGGTGGTGAATGAAGAGTCCAGTTGCTTTTGTGACCCTGTGCGGAAACTCAGAATGGACCGAATACAAAAGACATCCGTAAATAGAATCCTAAAAGGACAGGTCAGAAATGATACATCCCTCTAATTTAAGCACTTTGACCCTGTGGGTGTTTTTCAATGCATAGTGTCTTCCGATCCAAAATGATGACAAATTCTGCGGATGGCCGTGGCTGGCCGTGGAGCCAAGGGTGCTGTCAAGGTCCCCTGTCTGGCAGACTTGGTCTAGGCCTAGACCCAGGTTGCAAGTTCCTGAAGGAGGTCAGTCGGTCAGTGAGCCTTGTACTCCCAACCTCTTCTGGCAAGAAAGGCTTCTTTTCAGTAACTGGATACCCTGAGTTATGTGATGACTCCCTTAGGGGGGTGACACATGAGGCTGAAGTCAGAGCGCCGACTAGGGAGGTGATGTCCCTTTGGCCTCTGCGGAATGTGCTGAAGGGCACCCGGAGGCAGTAACTGCGTATTGTCTTACCCGTGGGGCAAACCCAGACTGCGCCCTGCTCTCCAAAATAGACAGTGTAGCTTTCCTGCGTTTGAGCAGCCAAAACTGCATTTAAAGGGCAAGGACTAGTCTTTGACTTTAGAAGATGGGTCAGTGACATTGGGAAATGAGGACACCGTGGGTGCAACGCCCAGATCCTCTACTGTAGTTTATACAGGGCCCTCAACTTTCAAAAGGTGTATGTCTTAGGGGGCAGTCCGTTCATGGGTGCGCAAGCAAGCCAGCTCCTTCAAAGTTTTCTGGCATTGAAGCCTTTGGCTCTAGTCAAGTTTGGGCCCAGGCACCATTAGCCTTTTGCCTGCAGTTCTCAGCATTGAGGACTCCTAGACCACCCAGGCCTTTTCAAGGATGGCCGTTCCTTCGACGACAAAGACTCTGACCAAAAGCCCTGCCGTGTGAACCTCCGCCTTTCCCTTTCCCCACAGTGGCTATCAAGCCCAGAACCCCACAAGCAACATCAGTAGTGGGGCGGTTAGCACAGCCAATCCCTGGCGACAGTGCCCTGCACCCCAAGGCACCAGTTTTGAGAAACACGCCCTGGGGAAAGGATCGGGCTGGCTGGAGGGAGGCTTCTTCCTGGGGCGAGGCCTACGTAGAGGGACAGGGCCTTTCCGGGGAGTTGGGGGTGCTGGGTGCGAGCATGCCTTGGCAGAGCGGGGGCGGGGTCTCGGCTTTGGGGCGTGCTCTATGCCTGGGGGCGTGGCCTCCGCGAGGGGCGGGGCTTGTCCGGGCAGGGAGGAGAGTGTCTCTTACTTACTGTGGTCGTCTCGGAGAGCGGAGTCGATGAAGGCGGCAGCCGAGTCGAAGAAGACGCTGAGGTCGAAGGTGGGCACGTCGTCGGCCTCGACGCCGTGGTACTCGATGGCCATGTCGCGGTAGTAGTCTGGCCCGGTGTCCACATTCCAGCGGCCGTGCGCGGCGTTCAGCACGTGCGTGAAGCCGGCCTTCTGCAGCCCGTAGCGGTCCAGCGCTGTGGCCCTGGGGCAGGGAGAAGGGGCAGTCGGTGGACGCCGTGTGCTTCGGGGGGTGCACGGCTTTCTTCGCAGGGCCCTGGGCCTTCCCAGTGCAAGGCGATTACAAGCAAAGACCCAAAGCGCCTCTCTTCCTGAGCCCCAGGCCGCTGGGCATAGTTTGGTTTTTCCAAGTATTGAGAAAGCAATCCCCAGGAGTAGGCGCGGGCTGGGCATTTGCCCTTTCTTTCAATTTGGATCATTCACCTAATCCTGCAGGTCCTGGGGCTGGACCTGCCAGATCTCCCCAGAGGCAACTGAATTAATCTCTTCGTCCGGGTCTGCTTCACAGAGCCCCAGGAGACCCTTTAAAAGAGGCGTCTACTCTGAAGGCTCCAAACGTTTATGGGTTTGGAGGTCATAGCTGGGAAAAACGGCTTCAAGCCGATGGTTCTGTGGGATTTCGTTGGGGTTGGATAAAATTCTTGAATAGATGCTGGCATGGTGGAGGACACTATGGATAGGGACTTAATGCTTTGTTGAACCCTTTGCCTAGCTGGGCTTGCCTTGTTCCAAAGGACCTAGTTTCTCCAGGTCCGAGTCTTGGTTTTCAGCAGAAGAATTTCTAGGAACAAAAATAAGGTTGCTTTGAGGTAGTTAAACAGAGCTAGACAAAAAGGCCATTGACTAGAGTATCAGAGCAAGCAATTATTCCTAGTGGCAGTGTTTGGGGAGGGGGTCCAGGGGGACGTACTACTGTTGTTCATTTGTTATTTGCTACTCCTGCTAGAATGGGAGTTTCCCAGGAGACCTTGGCTTGATCAACCTGTTCCCTTCGGTACCATCAGCACACCAAAGAATCTCCATCATTACTTGGGGATAAATGATTGACTACAGAAGTCGCGAAGGTTTCCTTCATCACCCTCAGCCTCCACACCTTAGGTTGTGGTTAATTCCTTGACATGGCCTGCCTCGCCTCCCTCTTCCTCTCCACATTAATTGTTGACCCTTATAGTAAATAACAAATGAACAACAGGAGCTGTAGAGACACATGACACGATTCAGCATGGCCATGAGACTACATTTGGAAGGGTGCTTGGCAGACCTCTGTGGGTAGGTGGCATTGGAGTGAGGCCCGAAACAGACTCGGGCAACGATGTTTCATCCAGGCTGAAGGAATGCGGAGTAAGAATGGGAAGGAATGAGTGGGCAGGGTGGGGGCGGGGTGGGCCCTGGGCCACAGAGAAGAGGGGTCTGGATATTACTCTGGCCACAGATGGTTTAAGAAAGGGGTGAGCCTTGTTTAAAAGATCAGAATAGTTGATGTGTCGAGATGGATTGGAGGGGGATGAAAAGCGGAAGCAAGAAAGGTCTGCTGTTGTATGAGCAAGAGAGGAAGGAAGCTTGGCCTGCGCTGATGTCTCAGCAGTGTGGGAATGGGGAGAGGAGGGGGGGGGA